CGACTACGACTACGACTACGACTACGACTACGACTACGACTACGACTGCTACTACTGCCACTACTGCTACAGCTACTACTGCTTCTACTTCTACTATTGCCACCACCACAACCACCTACTACATTGGTTGCGGCTACCGCTCCCGCTGCCGCCGCCACTGCCACTGCCACTGCCACGACCACTACCATCACTTTATCCACCACTATTGCCAATGGTTTTCCCTACTACTCCTATTACTATTTCTCCAACCGCGACAAAATCGACAGCTACCACTTTTGAACAGCACCCATAAATCTCAAACCATTGAAAAACGATTTCGAGGGACACTACTACACTATACAACCTTTAATTTTGCACATGGTATAACAACTTGCGTAGGGGTTTTGACAACTTCACATGACACAGGGACGCCAAACATCTTGAATAATTGGGGTTCAAGTACAAACAAGAAATCCACCAAAACCACTGATATCATGACGACTTCCTCATGACTTTGGACCCATTTGGATCCCATCGAACCAATCACTAAAGACTCATTGCTGGATGCAAAATATCCATTGATGTTGTTGGCTGGGCCAACCCATTCCCCAAGTAGGAACATTAGTGCATCTGAACGGTTCACGGGTCTATGTCTAAATGATTCACATCGATCATTCAATCTTGCCATATTTTTCTGTATCTTCACCCCGGGTTTTACGAATTCCTCGACCGTAAAAACCAAGTTTTTTAGAACAGAGCACAAGACCACCACGTGGCTTTATGTGTCAGCAGAGCAAAGTGTTTTTAAAGAAAACCACCACAAGAGGTTAGCTTTCCCTTGTCATGTCAACGACTTTGGGCACATCAGCCATTTGCCTGCGAAAGCCCTGCAGGCGCCGCCCACACGGGTCTCAGGCGAGTTTCGCACTTGTGAGCTGGTCGGTCCAAGTGATCTGATGGTATCTACTCCAAAGCTCTATAAATCAGAGAAAAACATCAATAGTGTTTCCTTTACCTTGGTAGTCCATTTGTGCGTTTTGGAAGGTGTTGGTTGATAGTGGTTTCAGATGTTGTCTTGATACAGAAGCTATAATATAGACTCTTTCAATCCTTACAATATCTTACAATAATGTGTTTTTTTTTTTATGTGGATGCGATGTTGTTCAGAGTGACAATCATCTCCAGTTCACCGCCGCGTGATCTAAACAAAGAGTTTGCCTGGAAGATTCGTAGTATTGCCATTCGGTTTTCTCCTTGGACCTTGCAGGCAGTGATCCGACGTTGCAGGCTGCGAACTTGGGCATTGTCACGCAGAAAACAGTCTACTACATCGGCAAACGACATTGATTTGTTTCGGACAAGAGTTCGCATCAAACATCGAGATTCAGCTCAGCTGAGCAATGTGTTCCACTAGATAATGGTGAGTCAAAACTAGAGTTCTCTCTCAATCGTGCTGATAGTCCCTATATACTTCAAAGCTTCCAAGTTCAGGGATTTTCTTTTGGTATCAAATTCAATCTCCCAAGCTAGGATGAATCTAGAAATTGATAGGGTTTTCGATTTGAGGCACTCGAAAGGAATGTCCAGATGTACAATGAACTCTTTCATTTTGTTATAGGGCCAGACGTCCTTGGTGACGAAGTTCCCTTGCACTATATACGTACTACTCAGACTGGCAAATTCGTGGCATCGACGGAGGATTGAGGCTTCGCGCTCGGCCGGGCCAGGCCGACGACATTCCCTTGCAGTTCAGATCCTCAGGCAATGAGCAAGAGCGCCAGTTTGGGGGAACGATAAGGAACGGTGAAGGTGGACTCCCTGCGGTGAACGTTGATTCCCTGTACAGTGACCCATGTACACCAGTCTTATCTGAAGGGAACAGACCGTCTTGCAGCTCAAGCAAGAATCTCAGGGATTCTGAATTCTGAAGGTTAAGTTTTCGGATGCAATTTTCACCCTCAATCCAGGTTTGCAGATTCGTGAAGCTGTTCAAGTCTTGCATCGCTGAGTTAGTCACTTTGTCGATATCCTGAGGATGTCCATTGCTCCTTGTAGGTACTAGGGAGAAACAGAGTTTGTCGGCGCTTGTGCCGTTTTTCTTGTAGAGCACATTATTCATCACACGTGATTTGGGCCCTTTCCGTAGGCCCTATATGCTCACAGTCAGAAGCTCGATGACCTCTTCCAGTCGCGCTTCAAACACTCGATATGGCTTAAGCGTTTACTTTGGACTGCATCGCCGCAGCGCTTGTCAATCATACTTCTCCCCAAACACTTTGGTCACACTAGGGGTTCTTGCGGTGGCTTATATCTTACTAGATATGTTATGATATATTGATATTTATGGTATATGCAGTATACAGTATACGTTATTCTGGCTGCATTTCGATTGAAGAGGCTCGCGCAAACTGGTGGGCTGGAGCGGCTGCTCTCGTTGTGGCACTGTGTGCATTTTCGGACTTGGTGGTCACTTTTTCATGGCAGTTGCAAGGGAATCCTCGTGTTTTGGTGGTTTGAAGTCGGCTTGTCATGGCAGGTGCAGGAGATTGGATCCGTTTTATTCTGATTCGCAGGTCTTGTGGCAGGGCTCAGCGCACTGGACTCGGTGGTGGTCTTTGGCGCGCTCTGTTTTCGTGGCAGATGCAGCGAATCATTTTCTCAGAACTTGGGAAGGTATCGCATGAAAGCTTCACTTTGGCATCTGGAACCTGTATATGGACAATGCATTTTTGTTGCGAGACGCACTGGCAGGGCTGCGTGATGGCAATCTTGACGTGAAGAATTTTGAGGCAGTCACAGCGCTTTGTGAACCTCGAAGTGCATACTTTTGCAAGCCTAGAAGGTCCTGGAAGTGCAGATTCCGTGGAAGTCACAGTGCTTTGTGAACCTCGATGTGCAGATTTCAAGGCAGTTTTGTGAACCCTGAAGTGGAGATTTTATGGCAGCCGCTGCGCTTTGTTGACCTTGGGGTGCAGATTTTGTCTCAATTGGCAGCAATTGTGCAGTGCTGGAAGTGCAGTTTTCGTGGCAGGCGGAATTCATTGTAAACCTGATGGAAGTGCGCAATGTAGCAGATGCAGCACTTTGTGAATCCGCAAGTCCAAGCTTCGTGGCAGGCACGCCACTTCTTGAGAACTTCTTGAAGTTCAGATTTCGTGGCCTTTTCTGAACCTCAAAGTGCAGATTTCATGGTAGACACAGGGCTTTGCATATTAACCTTGAAGGAAAGCTTTAATGGCATATCCAGCACTTTCTAGACCAGGAATATGTACAGATTTCGTGGCGGCGCGCAGTGCTTTGTGAACCTTGAAGTGCAGATTTCGTAGCAGAAATAGTACTCTGTACACTTGGACGGACGTGCGGATTTGGTAGCCGGCGCAACTCAAAGTGGACATGAAAGCCCACATGAGAGTTTACAAAGGGCTGCGCGTGCCACGTAATCTGTATGCTGACACGTGTGTGCCCTCTTATGCGTGTTCACGTCTATGCTCTCATATGTGTGCTGACATGTGTGTGTGTGTGTTGTGTGTGTCAATTCATGTTTCTAAGAAACTTGACCACACTCATTGTACAAAGCAGGGGGCTCTGGGCCCACTTTCACGCCAGAGCCAACGAAGACCGTGAAAGTTTGGATGTGCAAACGTACCTGCAATGGTCCACCTGGGCGCTTTGTAAGACGCAGCTGGTGACCAGATTCAGATTCGATTTATTGAGTTTCAACTGTTGAGCAAG